CCAGCAGCCGCGGCATCTGCTTTTTCTCACCTCTAAAGGGAATCGATTTGTCTCTGACTGATTTCCCTGACGTCTAGTTTTCTTCTCCGCCCGGCTGTCAGCCCAGCCACTGTGTGCGGGGAAGTGGGGGGAAGGCCCTGGCCGCCTGCCCGCCCGCCCGCCCGCCGCTCTCCCCCTCACCTCCCGGCATGCGCGCTCACACCACGGCCTGCACACAAGCTCGCACGCCCGACAAAGAAACCCACACCCGCACCGCAGCCCCCCTACCTGGCACCCACACGCCCACGCGACAGACAGACCTGCCCCACGTGGTACAGGCAGAGGCGCACACACCCAGACTGACAGACACGCACAGCCTCCCCACGCACACCCGCAGGCACGCAGAGGCACCGCCACAGCGCACACCCTCGCAAGGTCAGGCACACTCGCCCACACACGCGCACACACTGCATGGCCACCCTCGGGCGCCACGCAACCATGCATTCCTCCTCTCGGCAGGCAGCTCTTTGAGCAAATCCCACGGGCCACACACAGTCCTCACACTCCCAGATGGCACCCACACTCACACACCCCACACGTTCACGCAGCCACACAGACCTACACACCACACACACACACACACACATGCACACGTATGCTCCCTGACTCCCACCTACACCCTGCGCCCCACACGGGCACCCACACTCCCACACTGCATCTGCTCTCCCACTGCTGTCCCCACCTCGGCCCCAGCGGCAGCCGCCTGCCCCACCGAGCTGCTCATGGACCCCTGAGTGTGGTGCCAGTCCCCTGGTCCTGCCCACACTCGTGCTCAGCAGGAGAATCTGTGGGGGGAATAGGAACACACTAGAAACCCACCTTGTGCCCAGAGTCTTGGTGGAGGGAGACATGGTGTGGACCGAGGAGGGGCAGGACCTGGCTGGGCGGGACTGAGGCTGCCACTGTGCTCCGGCCTGGCAGGTGTGCTGCAGGATGTCCAGGGAGAGCAGCCACATCCTGGCAGGGCTCGAGTGACCTGGGGCAGGGCTGGAGGGTGTCGGTCCTTGAGATTACCAGGATTGTGCTGGGTTGTCCTGCTCACAGCACACAAGCAGGGCTCCCGCACTGCAAAGGACACCCGCCAGTCAACAAGACAGATGGCAGCGAGCAGAGCAGTAACGACACAAAGGGACCCTCTCTGTGTCCGAAAAGCATGTTCACATCCACGGTGGCATTTGACTGGATCCCGGAAGCACCCCCTGGGGTTGGCATTATTCCCGCCCCACAGATGAGGAAACTGAGATCTGAATCTGGGAAGGGGCTCACCCAGGGTTCCATGTGATCACTGAATTTCAACCTCTGACTCGAATGAATCCAGGTCTCCTGATGCCCTGGCCAAAAACGCAGACCAAACCAACCGGCTCCAGATAACGGTCCGTCTGTCCTCAGAAACCTCGCAAGGCCATCCACACTGGCACCACTCCTACCCGGGGGACATGGGGGAGGCCCCCAGCCTGGGCACTGGCAGGGCATGTGCACGTGTGCGCACCAGGTGTGTGGAGGTGCGTGTGGTTTGAAGGCACGGGCAGGTGTGGGCGGACTCTGGGAGAGGGTGTGTCCACATCGGGCGCAGGTGACCCACACGGTCACCTGCGCCCGATGTGGGGAGCTGCATGTGTGGGGATGAGCAGCCAGAGGGACCCAGGTGTGGTTGTGCCTTCGTGTGCTCGGGAGGGTGCGTGTAGGAGGGCCTGTGAGGGTGCGGGCTGGATGTAAGCGTGGGAGGGGTGGTGCGTGTGCCTGGTATGTGTGACCGTGGCGGTGCGCAGCCGTCACGGGCCTGCCCACTGTGGCGCACGCTCCAGACAAGGGGGCGGTTCCCCTCGTGCACCTGTCTGTCTCCTGGTCCCCTCCCCCCATCTCACCCCTTTATCTGGCCCGACAGCCCTGCTCCCAGCACAGGCAGCAGATTGATTAATAGAACTGGTTCTTGGCTCTTCAAGGTCTGGCCAGAGATAAGAGGAGACGCGAGTACCGGCGAGAGGGGGTGCCAAGGATGCAGGGCTGAACTCCGAGGCCACAGACCACAGATACCCCTGTCCTGAGCCTTTCCCCTCCTCCTCTCATGCCTGTGGTCCACACACGGGCACAGCGACACGCGCACTGCAGGAGCTGCACAGCCACCCCTGGAGGGCAGAGAGGGGCCGGCCCCTCCCATCTGCCCGCTGTGGAGCGGAGCTGAGCACCCGTTGCTGGGCTGGGCGTCCACCCATTGCCTGCTTCCTTCACGCATCCATGCATTCCCACACCTGACCTAGCACCTGCTAGACACCGGCTGGGGATGTCACCTGGAGGCCAATCACACACAAATCCTGTCCACGGCCATCCCAACCTGTGTGGCCTCTGAGCAACAGATTTGGGGAGACAGTAACATCAGCCCCAAGGCCCCACTATATACGGAGAGGCTGTGAGCTCAGACATGCAGTTATTTTGGGCCGGGGTCCCCGGCGAGTGTCAGGGGGAACGGGTATTTGAGAATTAGTGAAGGTGGCATGTCCAGGGTAGCACCAATAGGAAGGTCACCCCCCACCACTGATTGTCTGTTGTGTCCCAGACACTGTGCCCTGGAGCAGTATAGAGTGATCGTCATGCCACCGGTCAACAGCCCTGTGAGGCAAGCCCTGTTGCCACCCAAGTTAAGGACCTCCTCGGTAAGATCTGCGGGAGAAGAGGGAGGTGGGCAGATGAGGTTCTAGAAAGATGTGGCTGCTGCCTGCCCTTAAGAGTACAAGAGAAATGGGCCGGGCGTGGTGGCTCACGCCTGTAATCCTAGCACTCTGGGAGGCCGAGGCAGGAAGATTGTTTGAGCTCAGGAGTTCAAGACCAGCCTGAGCAAGAGCGAGATCCCGTCTCTACTAAAATAGAAATTCATTGGCCAACTAAAAATATATAGAAAAAATTAGCCGGGCATGGTGACGCATGTCTGTAGTCCCTGCTACTTGGGAGGCCGAGGCAGGAGGATTGCTTGAGCCCAGGAGTTTGAGGCTGCTGTGAGCTAGGCTGACGCCACGGCACTCTAGCCCAGGCAACAGAGTGAGACTTTGTCTCAAAAAAAAAAAAAAAGGGGGTACAAGAGAAAGATACCATGATTCTTAGCAGAGAACATCCGGCCTCTTCCAGGGCTCCAGCCAAGCTGCCAGGAAAACCCCAGGGCCACACGCCCAGGATGGCTGGGGATTCCAGGGGGAGGGCAAGAAGGCGGAGTTGCAGGGAAAGGCGCTTGCCCCTAACTCCAGCAGAAGGGGGCAAACCCACAGCCCCTTGCAGTTTGGGTCACGGGCATGTATCTGGACCTTCTCGGCTCCACAGTCCTCCCCTCAAGGGGCAGCAGTGGCAGCCGGCCTCTGGGGAGGCTACCTCCGCCCCACCAGGCAGCCCTTCTGGAACATTCCCACTGTCATAGCCTGGCCCCAGCACAGTGGGGCCTCCCTCAATGTGGTCCACTGGAGACCCGTACTTTGGAGAACTACCACAGGCCAGGGCCAGTGGGCCATAGGACCTCCTTTCACCAGTGGAGAACCTGAAGCCAGAGAGGCAGCGGCAGGCTGCCCCGGCCACCCAGCTGGCACGGCAGGCCCGGGCTTCGAGCTCAGGCTCAGAGAGCGCAGGGGCTAAAGCTCCGTGATAAGAGACCTAATTCGACTCTCCACCCTCCCTCCTCCTCTCTCTTCTGCTCCTCCTCTTCCTGCCCCATTTCCTCTCCCTCTGTCCTCCCCCAAGCCCTGCCTCCTCTTCCTCCTCTTCCTTGGACCTCATCCTGCTTAAGCAAAGCAATAAAGCGCCCTGCTCTGGCTGCAGATGGGAGAACCTGCCTGGTGAGGGAGACCCCGAGGCCGTGCTGGCCACTGCAGCAGGAGGACAACAGCCCCCCCCCAAAGACGTCCACAGCCCGGTCCCCAGAGCCTGGAAAGATGTCAGGTTACAGGAAAGGAGGATCAAGGCTGCAGATGGAGTTGGAGCCGCCAACCAGCTGACCCTGCGGTGGGGAGATTGCCCGGGGTTGTCTGCGTGGGGCTGACGTGACCACAGAGGCACATGCAGAAGAAGAGGGAGGCCGCCACGAGCCCCAAGGGGTGCGGCGTGACCGGGACGTGGGCTGGTGCCACTGCTGGCTTTGGAGGTGGAGGAAGGGTGAGTCAAGGAACGCAGGAGGCCTCAAGAAGCTGGAAAAGGCGAAGAACTGGATTGTCCCCGAGAGTCCCCAGGAAGAATGCAGCCGTGCTGACACCGTGGTGAAGTCAACCCAAGGGGACCCACTGGGAGTGCTGGCCGCCGTGACTGTAAGACAGTAAATTTGTATTACTTTGAGTCACGGCTTCTGTGGCCATGCGTGACAGCAGCTATAGGAAACTGACACACCATGCCATGTCCCCAAAACCCCCGTTGCAATCCGCCGGTGATGGGGAACTCCCCCCAACCTCACCCAGCTCCCATGCTGTCCCCATCCCTCCTCATGGGAGCTGCTGTCCCCAGGCCCCTCTCTGCTCTTTAAAGGCAGTGATCGTGGGATCGGTCCCCCTCCATCCTTTTCTCCTCTTTGCTGGGCAATCCTCAGAATTCTTTTCTGATTGCTCCACCGGAAACTCCTCTCGACGAAGTCTCGTTTCCTGCTACACGCCTTTCTGCGAGTTCCAGGGTCCCTCGTGCCCAGGCCAAAGTTCTCAGAAGCACAGACTCAGTCTCCCTGCCAGGGGGGCTTGGGCAGGATGGAGACCATGGCTTCAGCTGGCTGTGTGGCCTTAGACAAACCCACGCCCTCTCTGGACTTCTGACGCCCCAGCTGTCCAGTGGGATGAAATCCCACGAGTTCTGTGGAGCGCCCTGAGGAAGAGTGGGTCTTACCTGGTCCCTTTGGCAACACAACTCTCAAGCACCTGCCTTCTCCCATGTTGCTTGTCACTAGCAGGAGAGGAAAAAGGAAGAGAGAAGAGACGTTCGTCCCTATAGAAATTGTATTCAAATGTTTTATTATGTGCTCTGGCTCGGGCAGCACCTTAGTTAATGGCGTGTCAGATGATGGTACAAATTTATAGCTGAAGGTTTACATCACAGACAGCTGGAATGAATGACAATAAATTAATTTAAAGTGCTACCAAAGTGTTCCCCAAAGTATATGTGCTTATGAGCTCTGGGCTAATAATTTATAAATGCATGCCTTTTATAATCCCGGTCTTAAGTCTTGAAAGCAGCTAGTTAAAAAGCAGTCACATGACATAAATTATTTTTATTAATATCACAAGTGCATGATCGGGGTGTTGGGAATGGTGGTCACCACCAGCCCATGGTTTCTGCAGATAAGCGACTCTTCTTTGCTCCCCGTGCTCTGGTCCTGAGAGGAGTGGCCCTCACAGTGCCAGGGCCCCAGATTCCAGGCACAGCTGCCAGGGGCAAGGCTGGTGTCCCCAAGTCCTGGTCCCCTTTCCTGGGGGTGGAATGAAAATTCTCATCCATCATAGGTTCCCTCCTCTAAGGAGTTATTATGACATTTTCCTGCTCCTCAGATAGAAGAGAGCAAACATATGTGCAGACAAGCAACTCAGACATTCATACAAACTCAGGGGGAGTGCTGAGCCTCAGTTGCCTCACCTGTAAAATAGGCATTGAGGGCCACTGGGAGAATTGATTAAGTCCACATATTAGCACTCAATAAAATATGCTGTCATTAGAGTTCTCTCTACTACCTAGCCTACAAGGAGAAGGAAAAGTTTGAAGTGGTTTATGCAACCAGAAACCTTGCGGTTGGTTGCCCTGCTCAGACCTTCTTTATAAAATGCAAAACGACCCTATCCTTCTGGAACCCCATTCCAAACCCATCTCTCTGACACTAATCCCACATGTGCCGATTTCTCAGGATCCACACTACGGTAAAGATTGCCCAAATCTTTGCAGCTCCTCCCACCAAGAGATGGAGTATATTCCCCCATTCCTTGATTTGGGGCTGGACTGTGACTCACTTACTTGGACCTGTAGACTGTGGTGGCAGTGGCACTGCCTAACTTCCGAGACTGGGTCTTAAGATAGCTGCAGCTTTTGTTTTAGAGCATTTGAAATACTCCCTCCTGCAACCCGGCTGAGACACCGTGAGAAGCCCAATCAGGGTGGAAAGGCCACATGGAGGAGACACATTGGTGGGCAGGCCCCCTCGAGCTCCCGGGTGACGGCCAGCACCAGCTGCCAGCCTTTGGAGGGGCCGCCATTAACACAGTCAAACCCTTAGGTGACCACAGCCTCAGTCTACACCACGGGAGCCAGAGTGGCCAGCTGAGCCCAGTCAATCCAAGAATTGTGAGAGGTGACACAGCCATCCCTCCTTATCCTCGGCTTCAGTTACCTGAGGTCAACCAGGTCCGACAATATTAAATGGAAAATTCCAGCAATAGACAACTCACGAGTTCTAAATTGCACGCTGTTCTGAGCAGCGTGATGGAATGCTGTGGCTTCCCACTCCCGTCCTGCCCGGAAAGAGAATCATCCCTTTGTCCGGCGTATCCGAGACGTCTGCGCTGCTGCCCCAGAGTCACACCGTGGTGGCCTTCGTGGTTACCAGATCAACCGTCCCGTGCTCGTGCTCTGGGTCACTCCGGCCCAACACCACGTCACAGTGCCCGCGCCATTCGCCTCACCCCGTCTCACCACGTGGGCATTTTACCGTCTCACGACATCACAGGAAGGGTGAGTACAATAAAGTGTCTTGAGAAAGAAAGACCATATTTATGTAAGCTTTATCGTAATATATTGCTATAATTGCTCTATTTTATTATTATTAATAGTTATTATTAATCCCTTACTGTGCCTGATTTTCAAATTAAACTTTGTCACAGGTACGTACGCATAGGACAAAACACAGTGTGCGTGGGGAGCGGTGGTGCCCGCAGCTTCAGGCATCCACTGGGGATGCTGGAACGCACCCCGAGGACAGGGCGGGGCTACTGCGAATGGATGCTGGCTTAAGGCCCCGGTTCTGGGTGGTTTGTTTCACAGCAGTAGGAGCCCGGGACGCCCGCCCTCCCCACTGCTTCTCGGCGGCTCCGAAGCATGCCCAAGCTTCTCTTCTGAAGCCCCCCTTGATCCCGCACCAACTCCAGCCACTCCTCCAAGAGGGTCGTCTCCAAGGTCACCAGGCCTGGCTGTGCAGGAGTCCTGTGGCTTATCTGACGGTTGACCCCGGAACGCCTCCCATGCCTCCCCTCAGCACTTCTCCACTGCCCCTCGATGTGACACTCTCTGTCCCGCCTCTGCTTGCCCTCGCCACCTCCTTCCCTGTGCACCTCTGTCCCTCCTCTTTAACTCTTGGGCCTCCACCCTCCGCCCTCTTCACCCATCTCCAGGCCGCTGCTCCGCTGCCTCTCACGTGCCAGTGCCGCCCGGATCCCTTTCCGCGTCAGGCTGAAGTGGCCAGCTGGCCCCTGGGCCTCCCACTAGGTCACCCTGCAGACGCTTCAACCTCCGCAATCCCCACGCTTGCTCGGCACCCCCACACCCCCAGCCCCTCCGGGATGCAGCCTCACTTCATTCTGCGGCTCACGCAGAGTAAGCCACTGGGTGCCAGCAAGTTGGCCTCCATACTGGCCTAAGATCTACTGCCACTGCCCTTGCCCCGGCCACCGCCAGCCCCCACTGGACCCCACCGTGCACGTATACACTCAGCCCTTTCTCCTAACTGTACCACTTTCCAACTTAAGGTCCTTCTGTGGATCCCCACTGTCCTTACAATAAAAGCCAAAACTCATTGATGTGACTTAGGGTCCCCCCCCAATCTATTCTGGGTCCTCCTCTCCAGCCCCAAATCTAATCTGACCACTCCCTGTAGCCACACAGGACTCATCCTTCTAACCTGCTGCACGCCCACATGTGGCCTTTCACACCCTGTTCCTTTGGCCAGGACACCCTTCCCTGCTCCACGGTGCAGCAAACACCACCTCCCGCAGGCCTTGACTTCCCCAGGAAGGCTCCTCTGACCCCCACCCCACCCCAGAGGGGCTGTCCCACTGTGCCCCCTGGGACACCCTCACCCTTCCCTGTTTCCTCTTGCTCCAGCACGCATCTCCCTTGACGTTAGCTGTGTGCTCAGCTATTTGTCTTCTCAGCTGAACAGGCAGCTCTGGGTGGGCAGGAAGCATTTATTATGGCATAGCACAACAGTTGGCATGAAGTGGGTACTCAATAAATATTTGTGTATTAATGAATGATAAACATCATCGCCTTGCCTCCTCCAATCCCCGACAAAGCCTGGATTTAACAGATTTATAGAGGAGTCTCTGCCTTCACCCTCCATTCACCTGCTCAGCCACTCAAAACCCATCTGTCGAGCACCCGTCGTGTGTCCGGCCCTGGGATGGGCAAACAGATGACAAATGACTGGACTAACAATACTATTCGGAAATAGAAGGGACCAAACTGCCGACACACACAGCAACAGGGGTGAAATCTCAAAAGCAATATGCTAAGTGAAAGAGGCCAGGCACAAAGACTGCACACTGGATGATTCCACTTATATGACATTCCTGAAAAGGCAAAACTATGAGGACAGCAAACAGATCAGGGCTCCCAAGGTGTGTGTCACAGGAGGAAGGGCCAGATAGAAGCCGAGTCCCCTTTTCAAAACTAGTCCCAGATGTCATTCAGCATCACCTCTGCCACATTCTACTCACTGGAAGCCAGTCCCCAAGGCCAGCCCATCCTGAAGGGGAGGGGAAGGAATGTCCACCTTTTGATGCAACAGCGTCAAAGAATGTGATCATCACAGACACCATGTGACCGCCCGGCACGCGGTGTCCACCAGGCGCGGCGGCCACACGCACTCACGCTCACGGTGTCTACAGGTTCCGCTGCAGCAGCACAGACACCTGGGGGGCCCAAAGGCGGCTCTTTCTTATTGTAAGAACATTATTACAACAATGTTAAAGAGTGTTTGGGAAGAAGAGAAAATCTGCCCTCCCTCATCGCTACTTATTCCCCGTGTGACTTATAAGTCATTTACCTTCTCCATGCCTCAGTTTCCTGATCTGTAAAATGGGCATAATTATAGTCCCTAACTCATAGTATTATTGTGAGGATTGAATGAGATAATTATAGAAAAGTGCATGGCACATGGAAATTCCTAATGACACTGCCGTCTGTCACGAGCTGGCTGGATGAATCTATGAGACAACCCATTAAAAGAGGTGAGAGCAGTGCCTGGTACCTGAAAATGAAAGAGTTACACGCTATTGTCATCACAGTTAAGATAATAATTACTGGTTATAGCCTCCCTCAAATCTCCAGGATAATGTGCAACCTCCTAGACTGCCATTGAAGGGAGTCACTGCCATTTACCTCTAACCCTCCCTGCCCCATACCACATTTACCATCCTTGAATGTGCCTCGAACACACAACCTTCCCGTCTGCAGCCTGTTCTCCAAAGATGCCCTCTTCCTGGCCTCCCCCTGGTGAACATATATCATCACAAACAGTGGGCGGGGAGGCAAAGAGAGATGGTCAATCATGTCCGCTTCTCATCATGCCATTGTAACTAGCAATCAGAAAATAATTAAACAGGCCGGGCGTGGTGGCTCACGCCTGTAATCCTAGCACTCTAGCAGGCCGAGGCGGGCGGATTGCTTGAGGTCAGGAGTTCGAAACCAGCCTGAGCAAGAGCGAGACCTCGTCTCTACTATAAATAGAAAGAAATTAATTGGCCAACTAATATATATATAGAAAAAATTAGCCGGGCATGGTGGCGCACGCCTATAGTCCCAGCTACCCGGGAGGCTGAGGCAGGAGGATCGCTTGAGCCCAGGAGCCTGAGGTTGCTGTGAGCTAGGCTGACGCCACGGCACTCGCTCTAGCCTGGGCAACAAAGTGAGACTCTGTCTCAAAAAAAAAAAAAAAAGAAAGAAAATAATTAAACATAGAAACATCTATTTTCACATAGACACACAAGTCAGTGATTCCTGAAAGTGGGGAAACAGTTGAGGTAAGCTCCACCATGGTCTTGGTTTTCTAACTGGAGACATGGAGACATATTCCAGACCACCGAACAAAGAGAAAGAATCCAAGGGGAGCACGACAGTCTCCCTGAGCTGATGAGACAGAGACTGGAGTCCAGGGAGGCTGAGGCTGCTGGAAGTTGCGGGCAGAGCACCAGAAAGGAGGGAGCCAGGCAGAGGAAGAGCTCGAGAAATCCGCACAGGGGTCCTCTGGAGCCTTGGCCAAACTATAAGCTGTGCATGCCTAGGGTGAGAACCAATGAGGCCAGGCAAAAATCAACTATCAGAGACAAAATGACTACACACAGAGCTGGAAGACTGAGTTCTAACCAGTCAGACTAGAAAAGGCTCATTGATCAACTTAACAAAGCTTACAAATGAGCCACAAAAGGAGCAACATGATCCACATGTAAACTATCTGTTTGTCAAAGCAATATCTTTAATACTCTTTAAAGGAACACAACGAAATCCAAACTCTCAGCAATAAAATATCACAATGTCCAGCATCCAAACAAAAACTACCAGATGTGCAAGAAAGCAGGAAAACTAGAAGAAAAATAATTCAAAGAAATAGACCCAGATGACAGAGATCATGGAATTAGCAAATACATTAAAATAGTTACTATAACAATATTCAAGAATTTAAAAAGAAAGCATGGACATAATGAAGAGATAAATGGAACCATAAAAAGAAACAAACAAAACTTCTAGAGCAGAAAAATACAATATATGAAATGGAAATTTCACAGGAAGGAATAATAGCAGATACACTGCAGACAAAAAGATTTATGAACTTTCCAGTGCGGTGGCTCATGCCTTGTAATCCTAGTACTCCGGGAGGCCGAGGTGAGTGGATCGCTTGAGGTCAGGAGTTGGAGACAAGCCTGAGCAAGAATGAGATCCCCGTCTCTACTAAAAACAGAAAAAATTAGCAGGACGTGGTGGCATGCACCTGTAGTCCCACCTACTCAGGAGGCTGAGGCAGGAGGATCGCTTGAGCCCAGGAGTTTGAAGTTGCTGTGAGCTAGGCTGACACCGCGGCCCCCTAGCGCGGATAACAGAATGAGACTCTTGTCTCCAAAATAAATAAATAAGATTTATGAACTTAAAGACAGGGTGACAGAAATCACAAGGAAAATTAGAAAATATTTTGAACTGAAGGAAAAAAGTGAAAACACAGCATGTTAATAATTGCGAGATGCAGCTGAAAGAGTGGCTAGAGAAAAACATACAGCTGTTAAAGCTTACATTAGGCAAAATAAAACTTTTAAAACATTTGTACAGGAAAGAGAACAGGGCAGGCCTGAGACTGCTATCCTTAGAAAGGCCGGTTTACAAGGCCGGCTTTGACTGGTGCTGTGGTTTGAGTTTGTCCCCCTGGAAACTCACATTGAAATTTGATCTCCAATGTAACAGTGCTGGGAGGTGGGGCCAAGTGGGGGGTGTCTGGGCCATAAAGAGATGAATGCCCTCCCTCCAGAGGGACTTCTCCCTCTCTGGATTAGTTACTGCTGGAGCAGTTGTTAGAAAAGTGGGTGCAGCTTCCTCAGCTCTCTCTTGCTTGCTCTCTCACAGTGAGATCTCTTTGCACACATCCACTCGGCTCACTTTTCCTCTGCTCTGCTATCGTTTGACCCAGTACGTGGTCCTCGCCAGAAGCCAGCGAGATACGGTGTTATGCTCTTGAACTTCCCAGCCTGCAGAATTGTAAGCTAAATAAA